TTTATAGTTAGACTGCCGGTGACAAAGAACCTATTACATAAACACATAATTTGCTTTCATTCATTTATTTAGTTCATTTTGAAAAAGAACCCAAAGATTATCACAGTTTGACATTTGTTGGTTGGTTTCCAAATGCTTTTCTACATCTATTTCCCATCTTACTACCAAAATATGCAAAAATATGTGGTGGTTGAAGACTTTTGCATTGCACTGTAAACAGCTTTTTTGAGTTACGTGTATATTAATTTCACTAGATTTATCCATCCATCCATAGATGTCTTTAGATTTGGGCACAAATCTAAGTTTCAAACATCTAGGGACAAAGACAATCAGACACAGAATAAAGACAGATAACCTCCCAAGATTTATCCACTGTCTTCTTGCCTTGAATAGAAGTCCTTACCCTGTGGGCCACTTCCTTGTTTTTTTGTGTTGTTTAGTTTTGATTTTTAAAAACAGATCCTAACTTGAAGTTCGGTCTCTAAAACCTTTGCACAGTGCTTTGTGTTGACAAATCTTTTGCCACAGTTCTCTCATTAAGTCCCATCCTTACCAAGTTGTACTAAAGCTGGTAAAGTCTTGTAAGTGTTTGTAATTAAGACCTATCACTCCTCTACCTGATAGAAATCACACATTTGTAGTTGCTCACAACCCTTAACACCTCCATGAATCTGCCTACACACTCATTTTCTCTCTATTTGTTAATCCCTGAACAGCCAGGAAAAGGTGGCCTGCGTTAGAGTCGACGTCAGCCCAGACACACCTGGAAGAGACTCCACTACCGAGACGTTCCTGTAATAAATTGTGCAGAACTCCTTTTGTCCTCAATACCTTCTCCTTCACAACACTTTTACCACACCGATGGACGCAATCTTAGAAGGAAAGGGGACACACTGAACTGGAGCAGCACAACCTCTCTGCAGAGCTCCTTCAGGGCAGCAGATGAGCTCCCTTAAGGATGCGAGTCTTTCTTCAACACACGTCTTGAAGTCCTTCATGTACAGAATGTGTACGAATGGTTGCCAAGATGTACTATAAAGGATAAAACTCCAAGAAACAAAGGAATTCTGCTGTAACTGCCCACCGATGTTCACTGTTCAGAAATTCTCTCTGTCTAGCAGCCATTTATTACTCATTTGAAGCACAGACACCAAAGGAAGGGGCCTCACTGGTGGGGGTGTTCAACTGTGTGAATTTTACTTTTAAACCATCAAAACTTTTATTTATATTTATATTTTACTTTTGTTATTTTAGCTGTTCATTTTACTCTACTTTTTCTTTCTTGTTAGCGTTCTCTGTTTCTATATATTTAAGGTGGAACTGAGACCTTTCACTAAAGTACACCAGCTTTGAAACCTTTTTGATTAAAGCCATTCAGGTACTGTCAGCTCCAGATAATTCTATTTTATATTTAGTCTGGCACAATAAATGACACAAACCAAAACAGACAGAGGTACATTCAGATACTACTACTGCACCACACTAATATTACTGCGTACATCTTTGTCAGATTTGCTCATGAATAATGTCTCCTGTCTCTAGGGGAACCCTCAGTATTGATACTGCTGCTCAAAATTAGTTTTTACTGTAAAGCCTCACTGTTGATAGTGTATGTGATCTTACTGAAATATCACGCGTATGTGTACTGTGTTCTTTTCGTTTGTAATATTGTAGAAATCTACTTCAGAGGCCATACGAAGTCTGTACTGTATCGTAAGCACTTTGCCAGTATAGTTTCTTACCTAAGATGAATTATGGTGTGTTAATAAAAAGGTTACTCCTCCTCCCTCTGTATTTATACATCAGTCATTCAAATTTTAATTATACAACTCAGGAATCTTGAGTGATTTCTGACTGTTGTCATTTGATATTTTAACCCTCTGGCCACTGTGTTTCTCTCATGGCTGTCATCACAACTATTTTACCTAATGCTGTAAATCACGACATATACAAAGGTGCGAAGAAATGAGAGAATATTTGTGACCCCCCAGATAGCAGCACCTGTTTTTATACTGTCTATATTATTGTATTATTATTACTGTATGCGTGGGTGTGTGAGTACGAGCGAGCGTGTGGTATAAAGATAATTTGTTTAGCGTTGCAAATCATAAATCATTTTATGCAAAATATTTCTACTGTATATGTAAAAGAATATATTATATTCTAGGAATTCTTATTTTGCTGACAGCAGTCCTGTTTTAGCAATAAGTGTTCCATACTGTGCAATTGACGGACTCCTGAACTTGGCTAATATTCAGGCAAGGAATTATTCATCAAACGACTTCTGTGTATGTTTAATCTGCTCTGTCTGTGTGTAGCTACAGTGACTATACGGACAATAGCTTATGTGCCTTGTTGAAGCTCTTTGTGTCTAGTACTGATAGTTTAAGTGTTCAGAAGAGAGGTACGGGCATACGCGGTGGCACCCAAAGACGGATCGTAGAGTGAACGAGGACACGGCTCTCCCTGTCGTAGTGTAATGCCATGTCTGTGTGAAGGTTGTAGCCTGAGCCATTGACTCAAAACAGTGTAGTTCAATTTATTCTTCCATTTAAAAATGTAACTAAATACTGTTTGTCAGTGTGTTTGTGTGTTCTACTATCACAGCTAGTGTTTGCTCACAACATAAAAGCTCTGTAATCAATTTTGAGGTACTGTTTCTTTTCTAAGTGATTAGTGTGTGTCAAAGTGTTGTGCCGTCAACATCCAGAAAGAAGTGACATCTATGTTAATTTATATATTTGATTAGTGGGGAAAAATGATTCATGTGTGGTTATTTCACTACATATGTGGACGTTAAAATGAAATGTAAAATGTTGTCATTAGTATCATCAGAGACGGTTAACGTCCACCAACCAGCTAAGAATTTACGATTCCTGTTGTTTATCTTGTTTTTCCACATTATGAGGTTCGATTTAAGATGCATGAATCTGGATAAATGATCAATAATGTGAAGGAGTTTCTGGCCTCTATTGTCACACCAACAACACAGAGTAGAAAATGCATTTGTTTTGTACAGACATCAGTGAAGCACACAGCGTCCAGTTGTTAACTTGAACGATGACTCTTCTGTCATGGCTGATTGTTGAAAAGCAATAAAAAGGAATACAAGGTGATTTTTCTTCTGTCTTCATTAAAAAAAAAAAAAAAAATACAGATTTTTTCATTAGTTTAGGATTTACGGGTCGCATTTTACCTTATATTGATAAATAACTTTCAGTCAACATGATTTAAAACCCAGAACTGTGAAGTGCACTCACTAGGAGCTATATTAGGTACATCTGTTAGCAGTCACTTATTTCTCATTTAAAGCATAGTTAGGACAAGTTTTAAATGAAGGAAAAACTGACTTTTCTGCACAACCATCTCTGAGATTTACAGAGAATAATCTGAAAAAGAGAAAATATTGTTTGAGTGAAAATGTTCAGTTGATACCAGAGGTCAGAGGCAGACTGCTTCAAGGTGACAAGAAGGCAAAAAGCAACTCCTCGTTACAGCCGGGGTATACAGAATCTTTGAATGAACAGCAGGTAAACCTTGAAACAGAGGCCATAGTAGATGAGGGTCCACGATGAGTGTCACTCCTCTCAGCTGAAAACAGTAAACTGAGACAACATTTCACACAGGCTCACCAAATTGTTGATTTCTGCTGCCACACTCGGTTAGTAGGATCAAAATTTGGCACAAACAACATCAAAGCATGGATCCATAATGCTTTGTATTAATGGTTTAAGCTGCTGCTGGTGGTATAATGGTGAAGCGGATATTGTTTTGCACACTTTTGTACCAACTGAGCATTAAATGACAAAGCTTGTTACTGACCAGTTTTGCCCCCGTTTTGACCAGAATGCCTCCATCCAGCAGGAAAAGGCGTCACAGTGCTCAAACGAGCTCAAACTGCTTTCTCGAGCATCAACACAAGTCTTTTTTTTTTTTAGTTTTTGAAGACAACCGGATGTTTTTCATTCTGAAGACAAAAGGTGGCAGCAGAGATCTGTTATAAACCACTGCAGACAAATACAGCAGGCACTTCTTCAGTTTTATAGTTCACACAGCAGTGGGTTCACCACTTAATTGGTCAATTAAACCTCTTCTGGGGACTAATAAGCTCCTTTTTCTCCACTTAGTTTCTAGGAGCCCGTTAAAATACAAATAAAATGCATTTTTGTTTTCTTGCAAGCTATAAATTCATGTGCAAGGTCAGCATAAAGAGAGGTGCAATCCGGAATAGGTGGAGATATGTGGATATGCATATTTATTATGGTCTAATAATTTGGTTTGACTAAAACTTGGCCTTATGTGACATTTCAGCTGTGCATGTTCTCCTTCATGGTAAAGTACAAGTCAACATGAATACACTATATGCATCTGTGCCCGCTGAATGAAGGACGACGCGCAATAAGCCTGTTTTTAATGTTACAAAGAAAGAAAAGAGACACGGAGGAAAGAGGTTAAACCTCTTGAAGATGTGTCATTGAACAGCACAAGAACTGAGCAAAGGACAGTTTGACAATATGTTTGACAAGGGAAGGGCAAATGTGTATTATTAGTTCAGGACTTTATTTTTAATCATGTTCTTTCATGAGTGTACATCAGCTTTAATGTCTTACGCAAGAAACCATGTCATGGAAAAGATTTCAGATACTTCACTTTGAAGTACTGCCAGAAATGAAATCACAGTCCCAGCAGTTTATTCGGGTTATTAAATGAATGGTTACAGTAATTTTAATTCTACTGATTGAGCATTATATTTGAGCAGCATGTGCCCAGCACTGTTTCAGGCCCATGCATCCGGACCAGAGCTTGCACAGCAGACGCTACAATAAATCATTCCAGTAAGTATTCACTTCAAGTTTTCTCTTTATTAAAAAAAAAAAAAGGATCTTCCGGCTACAAAATGTATTGCAATTTGTAGCCCAGTGAAAAATAAATTCAGGATATGCTTCTCAGTCATTATTTGTGTTCCTGTGTTGACCTGGTAGAAACGAATAACCACGTGATTAAATTACAATAAAAAGGATTTTAATAAACGTTAGAATTGGTCATTTTCAGAAAATCCAGAGACGCACAGCAATCAAAAAACAGTGAGATTTTTTTTATTGTCTTCTCAACAGCCAGAACTTCAGTCAAAATAATAATTTCTTCTGTCATTCAGTAATCTGAGACTGTCTGAAAGCATCGTTTCTCCTTAAAAAACAAACAAACAAGAAAATCACACGTTACCAGCCAGCATCACTGGGTTTCACTTAAACACAGTACAAATGTGTTTCATAAAGTCTTGGGCCAAAATAACTCATGTATTACAGGCGCTACATGATTCACTATTAATCACTGAAATTCAGCTTTTACACTAACGTGGCTCTTTTAAAATGTCTTATTGTAATATAACGACAATTACAAATAATTCATTACAATTCGAGCAAAACAACTATTTCAACAATGGCTTCTTACAAAGAAAAAATAAGGATTTAGGTGCCAAAAACGCAGCAGTTAATTGTCGTCCCTATGTTTACATGCCGTCGATAGCAATCAATTCATACACCGTGAACAAACTTCTCGTTGGTTAGTTTAAAATATTTGTCTTTGTTCAGACAAACAAAACAACTTGACGTAAAATTGCCGTTTTTTCCTTTTTTAAATCGGCCTGCTGTGGTTCTGCTCAAAGTTTCACGTAGACTATTGGGAAACTGTAACACTGCATTGTAAAAGAAAGAGTTTCCCTAACCTGGAGAGATATTCACCCTCCTCTTAAAGAAAATGCTTCGGTGGGGAACTGTGGCAGCACATAGTGCTTGTGGTTCAGTTAGCGCCGTTTGGTGGCCCCTCTGGGATGAGTGACATGAAAAAGGTTATGATGAATGACCATGTGGAGGACAAGAAGCCTGTGTGGGGGGCGCTGTTAGGATCTTCCGCTCCTTCCTCTCCGCTTTCCCCATCCTCATCATCAGAACCGTCATCCAACACTCCTTCCTATACGAGGGAAGTCAAATTACAAGAATCAAGTGAGATTATATCTCCCTGACGCTCAGTGCACAAGATTAGGCAAGAATATATGAGTCATATTTGACTGTGAAATGAGATATCCACTAAATTAGCTTCAGGCATAACGCCCCACACTTTATCTACATACTTAAAAAACATTTCTTCATTCCCTTATGAAGTCAAAATGCCATTTTAGTGTTTTTAGCTCATCTTTCCCTTCCACTAGACTGGCAAATTACATTTTTTTCTAACCTAATTAAAACAACAACATAAATAACAGACCATCTGAAATCAAGTAAATGTCAAAAAACTGTGATTGACCCCAATTGACCTCATTTTCATGATCTTTGTTGTTTTCTTAAATTGAGCAATCTACAATACAATACCACTGTTATGAGTTATTAAAGAAGAGTGGTGTACTATATCGTTCAGCTATCTGGAAACTGGTACTTCATTTCACAGCTTATACTGCAGATAAAAAATAAATGATACCGATAAGAATCCAATCAGTTCTGAGGAAAGCACCAGTGGATGAGAGAGACAGTTACCATTTCTTGTAAGTCTTGGTTTTGTGGCTCTCCCTCGGCATCATCCTGATTGGCTCCGTCTCCGGGAAGCTGAAGTTCGTTCTCCAGGTTAAACGGAAACCAGCCGGCCTGATGCCTGCAGGCAGAAACAACGAGAAAAGAAATTACAAATGTTTCACAGTGTTGGTCATATCAACTTATTATTCATTATACTCTTGAGTAATCTTTGAGGTACTTATAGTGTGGTATGAAAATAACAAATCCCTGTCGTGTCTACAAAATATGTTTTATAAAAATTCTAAGAGCCTTTAATGTTAAGATAAAGGCAAAATATATAAAATTAATGCATTGTAAAAATTGAAACTTCTGTTGAGTCTTCATAACTTTAAAATTCAGGTACTTCTTTCCAGTTATATTAGGGGAAACACAACAGAGAATCTTCAATGCAGCGCCGCGTGAAGACACAGGAAATCGCTCTAATCAGAGAGCATTCAAACATTGTGGCCTTCATTGTAAAGGCAACCATTTTTTAAAGATAAATGCTTTCCGGAGAAAAGCATTTATCTATTGTTGTGAATTTCGATGTGAGATGAGACCGAGTATCACCCACAATTAGTGCCTTTTGTTAAAGTACAAATCCAAAAAGGCACTAACAAAATCATGAGACCCAACAATGCAGTAACAGAACAAACACTACTGTAAGTACAGACAGGCAAGATTTCCGAGTATTTCTTAGAGTATATAGAAAATAAATTCGATAATTTATGTGACTGTTTCTTAAAATATCCATTTTCTTGTTTTTCCCTACGCCTGGAACGATGTAGCATTCTGGTACCACAAGAAAGTAGCGATAAAAGCACCTTTGAGTCATTTGTCAGCCACTATATTAAACAATACCAGAATCCAACAAGATGTAAACTCTCCCAGTTAAAGCTAGCGTGTCACCGCGCGTGCTGCAAATACGCTTTATTTCAGTTTCAGAGTTTGAAGAGTGTTTTAGTGTAGTTCGGGTCACTGTATTGTAATGACGGGCATTTAAAACACATGTTTAAAGTAAACTCACAGGTAAAGCACCAGCATGGCCATCATCACCATGACAAAGCGGCTGAAGGACGAGTAGAAGTAGACTATACTGAGTAAGATGGCAGCGCGTGAAAATGTGTACACCCAATCCAGCCAGTCCCGATTGAGCTCTTCCTCGTTCAGGATCTCCCCTCCTTGGGCATTCATCTGGACTTCTGGGTTGCCGTGGCGACCCACTTGGGGTCGTTGACTCTGGGGATGGGACTGGTTAGACTGGGTCGAGGTCTGGTCGGGCCTGAGGTGCTGAGAGGAGGCGGCAAGTAACTGACTAGAGGATGAGAGACAGATGGTGGTAACACTGTTTGAACACGGTCCTAAAAACCTTTGTGTTTTTAAATGGAGAGACTAAAACACAAATGGACTTACTAATGCATGTAGTACTGCCTGGCATACAGCTGCTGCCACCACATGAGTGTCATGGGGTTGTAATAAGCGGGCATATTTGCGGGAGGCATCGACTGAGCAGAGTGTTGGTTCCAGCTGGAAAAAGAGGGTGCAATACGAAAACAGTGACATTCTCCATTTTTGGAGAAGAGGTTTTAGTCAGAGCCAAAGGAAAAACATCAGCATTGTAATCAAATTATTACCGTTAATACTGTTTATTCAGTCAAATATAACCAATGCTTTTGTTTATCACATGGCCAGACATAGCAGGAAAACACACCCTCACTAAACCAGAACAATTCATCCATGTGTAAACAACCTCACTAGGATTGTTGGGAGAAGTTTTTATACACTCAACATGACAACATTATATATCAGTAAATTTGGGTTTTTACTGATTTCTGCATAAGTTTTAATTTATTTGGGATTTTTTTCCAATCTATACAGGCTCAAATATACACACACACTCAAAAAGCCTTTTTATAAGTGGTGCTGAAGGTTCTACAGTGTCTTTTACTTTGGCGGGGTCTGATTAATCGTCATAAATAAGTACAGCTGGTAGTTTCTCTTTGCCAGCATAAAAAGGATTAGGATGCAAGCACTAATTTGATTGACAAAATTTAAGACGCAATGTGCATAAAGTTGCCAAGTCCAAATCATTAAGATTGTTATGTAAAGTGTCTTGAGTAACATGTTAAAACTACTTAATAATGAAGTTTATAAGCAGGTGTATTTGCATTGTTTTTCTATTTTCATCATTAGTTGGTCTAGGGAAACAGTTTCCTGAACTACCCTTCACACCTGCACTGCAGTTCAGTAGCTTACCTGTACATAAATTGTGGATACATCTGGTGGTAAGGGAAGGATCCAGCTCGGTGTCTGAGTCCATCACTGCTCCCTCCCGTAGAGGAGTGGCTATCCTGACCAACTCCATTGGAGTTCTGAGGGGCCTGTAACCAGAGAGGGGGGGAAAAAAAAAGTTCTAGTTTCTTGCTCGTCCAAACACAAAGGCAAGTGACGTTTTTAAATCTCCAGAGATTTGCAAATTACAGCAGTTAGGGAGCTGATGAAAGAAAATATGGCGATGATGAAATGAAATGCAAGGTCTAAGAAGCACACGGCTGACCCACCGTGGGACGGGCTGTGCTCTCCTGGGGCTTGTTACTGCAGCTGCGGGTGGGCTTTGGGGAGCTGGGAGGGGTTCGTGAGGCGCACACCAGATGGAGCATATGGTACTCGTCCTGCTGTAGAAGCCAATAAGAGCTCATTATTAAACACAGCTTAAGTGCAGCATGTTCTTTGGACTTGTTATTTTTAAACCTCAAGAACACTTCAAAGCGCTTCTAAATCTATTTTGTGGACATTTGCTTTATTAGATTAATGCAAAGACAAGAATACTATACATTAAGCTTTTCTACAAGGCTACAGATCTAAATCCTTCAAAAGAGTTTTCCAAGTTACTATCTTTGTTAATTACTTATCTAGATATACCTTAATCAGGTGCTGGAAAACTTAAAATGTTGCTTTCAGGTTTAAACAAGACAAAATTAACACGAGGGAAGCGACTGTTTCTAAACAAATCAGCAGTAACTCAGCATCCCAGCTTAACCTGTGATAACTGAAACAAATACACGATTGGTTTTTTTTTGTATGCCATTCCCCATTTATGTACACATTATATGTATGCATGTTTTGTATGCTGTTTATTTACTGCTGCATAACTATTGCAAACTGAGCTGCTGCCTATTTTGGCTAAGGACAACTTCACAAAAGAGACAGGACATTTAAGATTTGCAATGTTCCTGCTCAAACACAAACATATTAATAATACCTACATAATATTTGAACATATTGAGTTTCTTTACAAAACAGCATGCAATTATAGGAAAGCCCATTATAAAATGCATTACTTTAATAGTGGCCTAGAGATGAAGAAGAGAAAAAAAAGTGGAACACTAGGTAATAAAACATATTAAAAAATCAATTAAAAGAGAACAACATAAAAAGAAGGAACACAATAAAGTCTCATTAGAGCTGCAATATACCTGTACACACTGTCTTGCTTTGCCCCCTCCTCCATTCTACTCTCTTTTTAGTGATGATATGTCGGCCAGTTTTTCGTTTTCAAAAATCAATTCACTAGACTTGAATTTACCTAAAAAAGATCAACATGAACATTAAAACTTTTTTCCCCTCAAGACTTTGTCATTGCTGTGCCACCTATGGTTGCATAATCATTGTTGCAGGTTACACAAAGAAAACCAGGAGGAAAAGTCCTTCACAGCAACAAATACAAAAGTGAAGTCACTTCGTGCCGATAGCAGAAAAATGGGTCAACCTAAGAGTTGCCTAATTTTGCAGGAATCAACATGAAGACTCATTGACATCCAGTAATTGTGTATAAGGAGGCTTTGTTTGCACAAGCACCGAATGTTCCAGTGAAATAAATAAAGATTACATAAGCATGACAAACTACATTCACTGGACACTTTATTAGGTACAGATCTTTGTTAATGCAAATATCTGACCAACCAATCACACGGCAGCAAATCTGTGTATTTAGGCATGCAATCAGGCTTTAGTTCAAACTGAGCATCAGAATGGGAAAGAAAGGGTTTTTCCCCCGCTTTTTAATCAGCAGTTCCGGCTAATGCTGGTGGTAGCGTAGTGGTGTGGGTGATACTTTGGGAACCTTAGTACCAACATTTAAACACCACAGCCAACCTGAGTATTAGTACTGATCATATCCATCCAATCACAGTGTACCCATACTCTGATGGCTTTTTCCACCAAGATTAATGTGCCGTGTCACAAAGCCCAAATCATCTTAAATTGGTTTCTTAGACAGGACAGCACAGTGACACTGTACTCAAATGGCCTCCACAGTCATTGGATCTCAGTCCAGTAGAGGGTGGTAGTGGTAGAATGGGAGGTTCACATCATGGATGTAAAGCCGACAATTCTGCAGCACCCGTTTGATGCCATCATGTCAACATGGACAAAAAAAAAAAATCTCTGAGGAATGTTTCCAGTACCTTGTTGAATCTATGCTGCAAAGAGTTATGCAAGTTCTGAATGCCAAAGCATGTCCAACCCAGTACTAGCAAGGTGTACCTAATAAAGTGTCCTTTGAGTGCAATTCCAGTTTATCTCAGATGTGTGGGAAGGTGTTTCTGTGTAGGCTACATAAGTTCTTCCACACCATACTCCATTCTACTTTGAGTGCAGAGAGACTCTTTTGTTGAAATTTTAAACACAGTAAGGAACAATTGCCTGATACATTTTTGTAAATCAGGCAGTTTAAATCTTGTGTGCTGTAGACTTGCTAAACTACATGGACTTTAATAAATCCTATGCCTATAACTACACAAACTTACCTTTCTGAGCACATCTTTTAAGGTAAAATGATCCAGCAGGAGCTTTCCAGAATATACCAGCCTCTGGTCTTTGGAGCTCTAAAAATAAAAAAAAAGGATAACGATAACTGGGTCAAAGAAGGAAGCCTATGTATAATGAACAACACCAAGAATCTAGGTTGCTCAGTTTTGTTTTACATTTTTAAAAGGGTAAAGATGCCAGAAATACAATCATATACTGAAATAAAACAGAGTTAACGGTTAAATGTACATGATCACAGCATTAAAGGGCAGAAACTTTCTGTGAATGAGTGATAAGGATTGGTTTGTAGTAACCTCAATTGGGATAAGTGGGTCTTAAGAGTGGATTTAGCTCTCCTGACTACAACAAGGTCAGAGTGTGATCCTCTTACAGCTTGCATTCACTCTACAGTTGTTAAAAAACACATTTTCTCTTTTAGATCCTGGCCATCTTACAACTGGAAGTGGAAGTATTTTCTTGTTTTTTGAGATTTCCAGAAATAACTTCCCCCTGAGTTACACAAAAATGTACAGGCATTTGGATGAACACTCTACAGCTTTATCAGAATGCAGTTTGCTCCCATGTATTTAATTTGATTGCATCAAAACAAGCCGAGAGCACAGAGGAAGCAGAGCAAAGTCAGATTAGCAGCACAATAAAGCCGGAATATAAACGCCTTCCCTTCATTGTGACGTCAAATCTACAGCCTCCAAGGCTCTTTCAGCTACAAAGAACCTCATTTCTTTCCCTTCAGAAAAAACATCAAGGTTAATGATCTATGTCACTCAGTGATTATTCAACTGAGTGACATAATATGACTCATGAGGGAACTCAGCAGAACTCACAAAGCAAAAGTAAGCAAAGCAAAATGAAGGTTGAGACTGTGTGAGAGCTAAAAATCAAAACACAGTTAAAAGGCAACAGAAACAACAAAAAATGCAATTCATTCTCAAAACTGTGTAACTGTGAAACTCATATGTAACACACGGGGGTATGCAGGCCATTTCCTGCCTGATATGTGTAGCATAATGCAGAAAAAAATCTGGTAATGATATCAATACACAGTTTGTCCAGCAGAGCGGCTTTCACTGCAGTGTTTGCAATACTGTCACTGTCTGCAGCATATGGAGCAGAATACATGTCACAGCACCATTATGTATCAGTGTGTTCGTTGATTTTGTAACTCCAACATATTGCGTGTGTCATTCATATTACTATTAACTGAAAAAGGCAAGAAAACACTTGTTACACTTGTTCCATGTTATGAGTATCTTTCTAACCACATAACTATCTCCCAACACTGCAGTGTTTCTCAAAATGTGGGGCATGAACGACCAGAAGAAAAATGTGAAGTTGAATGAGTGTAATGATTTTTTTTAATCATTACAAGGGAATAACAAAAACAAGAGTTTGCTGATGCAATAGTTTCCATTTAATTAAAATTCAATTTTAATCGTTCTTTTTAAATTGTAAATTTTTGATTAAAATAGCCAGAAATACAATTCTGCTAACCTCTGAAGTGAAGCATACCAAAACGTTTGAGAACTACTGCATTACTGTATGCCATCAAAACAAATACAGTAGTAGTATTACAACAGCAGCTGCTGCTCCTACTTCAATAACAGTGATCAGCTGGTTTGGATAACAAAAGCAAAGTAGGAAAGTGTTACCATGATCAGAGGGAGTCAACCTCTTACATCAACAGCTTTGATTAAATAAGGGTGAGATACTTACAGGTTTACTCGGGTACACATCAGACAGGTGAGCTTTGAGTTTCTCCACAGTCCAGTTCTGGTAGCAGTTGATTGTCTGGTCATCATATTTCTGGTTGGGAGCCCTGATCACAAGGGTAACAGGATTGTCCACAACAGCTTGATCCATGACTCATTTGTCTTCAGTGGAAAACAAGAGAGAAAGAAGATCTGGACTACGAAGTGTATGTCCTTGTTCCAGCTCTGTTAGTTTTCAAATAGGTTCCTGGCACCATCGAGGGGAAAAAATCTCACAGCTGGAAGAAACAGAAATGACAACATGAGTTTAGGGTTGCCCAGGTGGCATAGTGACATATTACGTAGTAAAATGAAGCAAATAATAACAGCACGGGAAAAAACGGTTCAATATTTTCCGACAGAGAAAGAAGAGTTATTCGTTTTTATCCTGTATTCGCCCTGACACACATTGAACCACACATATATTTCATTACAGCTACAACACTCGCGACAACATTGTAACAAGCTCCCGAACTAAACAATAGCGCTAAGGACAAAGTGATATGCTCTAACAGAAAACTAACGCTACATTTTGTCAGGGGTAATTAATGGATGGCTAAGCTAACGTTAGCTTTAGTAGGTTCTCTGCTAGTAACAGCAGTCAAGTCAAGCTAAAAAAGTTCTCGCCTTGGATAACTACCCGCCCAAATTACAATGATCTAGTTGTAGAACGGTGTTCTTGTAAAACTAAGCTATGATGTACCTGGTTAACGTACCTGGTTTACCTCCGGACAGCAAAATGTTGTCTAGTTGGCTGAACGGACTGAACCTGGTTGTCATACTTCTTTGATGGATTTCGGAAGGTTGTCAACATTCGACGTTATACTTATTACTGCCACCTGCTGGACTTTAGTGTGCGTTACAACAAAGACACGCTAAAAAAGACTGTGGAGATGTACGTTTAATATACATTTCAAAGGAGTCTCTGCAGTCCTTTGAAACAGCTTGTAGAACCTCTTGAGCAGCAATTCTTCAAGTAGTATTTTCTGTATGGCCCTATCAGTCTCTGATATTGCTGAAGAGGAATTTTGGCCCTCTCTTCTTTACAAATCTTCTTAAGGTCACTGAAGTTTGCAAGCCTTTGTTAATATACTAATGTCTTAAGATCCTGCGACATGGCCTCACGTTTGACTCTAAATACTTTGGTATACAGAGGAGTTCATGGTTAACCCAATGACTGCAAGTTGCCCAGGTCTTGTGGCTGCAAAACAACCCCAAATCATCAATCCTCCTCCACCGTGTTGTTGATATGAGGTATTTGTGGTGATATGCTGTGTTTGGTTTCTGGCATATGTGGTGCTGTACTATAAGCCCAGATGCCTCTTTGGTGTCATCTGTTCAAAGGACATTGTTCCAGAAATCTTGTGATTTGTTAAGGAACTGTTAATGAAATTTGCGACAATAAGCCATGCTACAATGTTCATTTTAAAGTTTATATTCTTTTCTGGCAACCTTTCCAAACCAGCCATACTTGCTCAGTCTTTTTTAACTGCACTGTCATGAACTGTCGCCTTTAGCTTGCAAACTTAAGCCTGTAGATTCAGACATGAAACTCTTGGATTTTTTTGTCAGTTTGTCCTTTGCAGGGATGTCCAATCAAATGCAAATTAACTCATTTAATTAGCAGCACACAGCTGCTAATTCCCTCTTAATACCCATGGAGGCAGTAAGGGTGTACTTTTCTACTGCAGTTAATTAAAATTTCTAATAGATGTGGACTTCATAATAAAATACTATAGAAAACTACATTGTTGTGCAAGAAAGAAATGATAAAGAAAATGGAAAATTATTTGCCTACAAAAAATAGATCATTTGATAAGCACAACCATTTATTGCACAGCATGTTACCTGCATTAAATCTATTAAGTCAGGACAATTTGCATATTAATGATGAAGTCAAAGGAGCTTGCAAAGAAAAGCGTCTGCACTTCTTTAAGTTGCTTGAAGACGTTTCACCTCTCATCCGAGAAGCTTCTTCAGTTCTAAGGTCAAATGGTGGAGAGTCCCAGATATAAACCTAGTGGGAGTGACCCCCCACAGAGGGACAAAAGGACCCCCTGATGATCCTCTAATCGCCTGAGCCAAGGTGTGAAACTGGGTGTGGGTCCCAATCAGCCAGAGTTTCGGGTGAGTTCATTGTGAAACCTGGCCCCACCTTATCATGCGAATTCCTGAGGTCAGATGGCCCAGGATGTGAGTGGGCGTTAAGGCGTCTGGGAAGGGATCTCAAAACTGGATTATAGATGGCAGAGAGTTGGTGTCGTAAACCACCGCCTCTGTTCAAAGATGGTCGCTCACAGTGGACATAGATGGCTTCTTTCACTCCTCTTTCAAACCATCTGTCCTCTCTGTCCAAAATGTGAACATTGGCATCCTCGAAAGAGTGTCCTTTATCCTTAAGATGCAGATGGACTGCTGAGTCTTGTCCTGTGGAGGTGGTTCACCCGAAAGACAAAACGCCAAAACACAAACTTAACAATGTGGTGTATGCTGTACAGTGCAGCGAGGAATGCTCAGACCTCTACATTGGAGAGACCAAACAGCCACTTCACAAGCGCATGGCACAACACAGAAGAGCCACCTCCACAGGACAAGACTCAGCAGTCCATCTGCATCTTAAGGATAAAGGACACTCTTTCGAGGATGCCAATGTTCACATTTTGGACAGAGAGGACAGATGGTTTGAAAGAGGAGTGAAAGAAGCCATCTATGTCCACTGTGAGCGACCATCTTTGAACAGAGGCGGGGGTTTACGACACCAACTCTCTGCCATCTATAATCCAGTTTTGAGATCCCTTCCCAGACGCCTTAACGCCCACTCACATCCTGGGCCATCTGACCTCAGGAATTCGCATGATAAGGTGGGACCAGGTTTCACAATGAGCTCACCCGAAACCCTGACTGATTGGGACCCACACCCAGTTTCACACCTTGGCTCAGGCGATTAGAGGATCATCAGGGGGTCCTTTTGTCCCTCTGTGGGGGGATACTCCCACTAGGTTTAAATCTGGGACTCTCCACCATTTGACCTTAGAACTGAAGAAGCTTCTCGGATGAGAGGTGAAACATCTTCAAGCAACTTAAAGAAGTCCAGACACTTTTCTTTGCAAGCTCCTTTGACTACGATGACCTGGATGACATTAATGATGAAGGAACTGAGCTCACAGCCCACTATTTATTCAGTGGGCTAGTTTCAGTCATTGTGATCAAAGGTACTGTTTATAAGGTTGGGGAAACTTGCTGAAGGCTGAGCCTGAAGAAGTCACTTAGATGTGTGACGAAATGTTTGGCTGAAAACGCTCTGACCAGACGAACAGAATCAACTTTTTGGGGGTAAATCCACTACACTTACCAAAAAAGCTTACATTCAATGCAGTATATAGATATTTACAATTATCCTATTTTGATGAATATGCTGCTGCTGATTTACCTGTTTTATGCCTTCCTCCAACATGACAACAAACAGTCAGAAATAACCGACTGTTTTTTCACTATCAGTAATTAAAACAATCGACTGATTGATAACTAACAGAAAAAGAGAAAAAGAAACGGAAGCCCAAACATTATTACATTTATCAGAGTTGAGTCTAAAACAGTTGAAAGCCTTCTCACTGCCATCTACTGGTAGCATGATGAAACAGCCCGGTCTCTTTCTCATTACATCAACGGTCATTGTGTTTGGTGTCCTTGGACAGCTTTTATCTAAATTATATTCAGCACAGTTGTGGAATCAAGGCTGGGACTAAGCAACAGTGAGATTAGTCTGAAGAAAAATGATGGACGTGTAAGAACTGAATTCATAGTGGTCTGTTAAGTCGGGTGCTGCCGTGACAGGAGAGCTTAAGATAGCCAAGACAGCATTTATGCATATTCAAACACAGCAATAAATAAACACTTGAATGGAAATTAAATATGTAAAATAAATCAAAACTTACCGAAGCTTAGTGAGTTACTGTTGTGCAAAGAGGTTATAGTTGACTGACCAGGTAATGTAAAGATGAATATTTTACTTAATGTTGCAGATTATTGTTTAAATCCTCAGTTCTCTGGGAGGTGCACTCAGAGGCAGGGACTGGAAAAATACAGCACATTTTCCTCATAGTTACTACATGCAGCCTAAAGTCACCTAAAGTAAGTAATCACCTTAACACGTTTGGTACACAAACAAACTAAACTTTCTGTCATCGTTGTATTTTTACTCAGTTGTATATAGTATTTGTATTCTATTTTTATCTTATTGTATATTTATTTTATTTTATTCTACTGTATATAGTATTTTATTCTATTCTGTACAGTTGTGTACTGTATTTATTCTTATTGTATTCTAATTTTTGCCTCATAACTTTTGCACTGTCCACTTCCTGCTGTGACAAAACAAATTTCCCACGTGTGGGACTAATAAAGGTTATCTTATCTCATCTTATCTTATCTTATCTTATCTTAAATGATCAGACCTCTATTATAGCATGCAGTTCTGCATATAATAACAAAAACTACGTTGGGTTACTTCGACCTTCACTGAAAACCTGAAAATAAACGTGCTCTGGAAATGGGTCAGCTTCCGATTGACTCAGCCAACTCAAGAGACCCTTCCAGTCCCCTGACGAGAACAAGTCTCATGCTATTACTTTTATGAGTAGCAGAGAATATCACATTATTCATCCTGTGCTAATGTCCCAGCTTATTGGTTTCTTTTGTATGGGATAAAAATACATTGTTGTCTTTGTATCAGTTGCCGTCACATAAAAGCACAGCAAGCTGCAATGCACTTTTTAAGTCTTTGAGTAGTAAACCCCTGCATGGTCAATATTGCCTCAAGTTTCTCCATTTTATTTGCATGAGTAAAAATTAGCATACTGAACTAGAAAGTAGTTACAGTATAAATGTGAATTTTGATCATCTGTCAGCCCTGTGACAGACTGACATTCTCAGCGTATACATGACCTCACACAGCTTCACAGAACCACATGATGGATGAGAGGTCTGTCGGCTCCACCTGTAAATGACCTGAAAGCAGGTTGGATGGATAAATGAATTTCTCTTTTGTTGTTATTTAGCAAAATGTGTTATTTTCTTTAGAATAAATGAAGATTTTCTTAAGGAAAAATAATAATTTGCAAAACAATAATTTAATGAATGATTATTTCAGCAACTGTTCATTTACTTACTCCGAGTTACGCAACCAGACACTTCTGACAATTAACACATACCTCATCGGGGCAGGTGATGCACTTTTTTGTGACGTCCATCATGTTTGTCTTCACGTTTTAATTCACTCTCAGTGGATGCAGCATGTTGACAAGGTGGTGTTCAGTATAGCAGCAGTCAGCGGGGTCTCCTTTTTTAAGGGCACTACATTAGAGATATCCAATTTCTTTCATTTCCCCTCTTCCTGTGTGTGTGTCCATCTATTAGCGCTGTCACAAAGGACTGTTTTTCACACCATGCCTCAATTTAGCAGTGGGTGATAATATGGGACACCAACCTGTTCCCACTGTTTGTGTGATTTCAAAAGTGGAAGGGATTGAAATTACGTCTGCTTTAACCTAAATTCTGATTTTCCATCCCATTAGAAAAGAATATTTTACATTTTCTAATTAGGTGACATGCGTCATTTGATACGCTAGTGCGCATCAACAGCTTTGAAGATATTTCCCTCGTTCTTTATTGATTTTGTACCTGCACTGCTGTTGCCATTGTGTTTACACTCTGTCTGTTCAGTGGGTGTTTTTGCTGCAGAAACAAAATCCTCATTGGAATAAATTTAGCCAAGCTGAATTTTATGCTCGAGTAACAATTTGATTGGATGTTTGCATAAGAAAGGGAG